TACTGTTATTTTATAGTTGAAGAAACCGAGGCAAACAGAAGTTAATTGACTTGCCCAGGGACACACATCTTGTAAATGCCTGAGGTGGAATTTGAATTTAGGTGTTCTAACTCCAGGCTCAGTGCTTTATCTGTTGTACTAACTGCCTTCACCATTGGCTTTCTCTGATCATGGTTGCAATTACATTTATCAGGATTAAGTCTTTGAAATTTGTCTTTAAAATGTTTTTTTGTTATTGTATACATTTTTCTCTTGGTTCTGCTTGTTTCACCCTGTATCGTTTCATAAATGTCTTCCCACGTTTTTCTGAAGCCTGTTTTATCATTTATAATTACAAATGATAATTATCATTCAATGTAACTTCTAACCTTACAGAGCTGTCTGGGGCCACTGCAAGATTTTACTCACAGTCACACAGTCATGTGTCAGCGAAAGGACCTTAACTTATGTCTTCCTGATCGGTTCTCTCTCTATTGTACCATGGTGCCTTTGTCCAAAGGCCATGACAATGGAAAGTGTCAGAAAATCCAGGGAGACAAAAATATCAGTTTTACAGTTTTCTTGAACTTGTTTCTTTCATTTTCTAAAGCTGTAAATTAGGTCTGGTATATAAAGGAATTGAGTTGAGCAAGAAATTGCATTTTCCTTTATAGTCCTGTGACTGAGATTAGAGAGGATTAAATAAAACAAAATGTGTTGTGTGGATAAATGTAAAATTCCCCATCATTACAAATATTTTATCAAAAGTAGAATATAGTTCAAGTGATCTGCTTTTACATTTAAAATGCACTTTTCCTAAAGCTATGTGGTACAAGTTCCCTCCTAGTACATCATCTGAATCAAGGATCTGTAATTAGCTCCAACAACAGTAAAATACATATCAATTCAATATTCACTGAGAACCTTCAGTCATTCATCTAGGATATCCAGTATAACTTTTAAAAAGTCCTTAAAAATGGCAGCCATATTGTTTTGATTGTGCCCAATTTGGAAGGTTATTTTAGGTACACTTGCAGCCTCTTCATTAATCAAACTTTCAAATGTTATGCTTTCAGGGTTAGACATAGTCTAGGGAAGAAAATATAATTATACCTAGCCTAACTTAACAGTGATCAGAATTGCACTTACACCTGGAGAACTGGGAACATTAATATCAAATTATAGCCCAACTTCCCACAAGAGATTTCTTGATGCCATTTTATGTAGGGGTATTCGACTTTGAAGTTCCTTTAATTCTTATATAACAAAAATGTTAACCAGCTTAATCATTGCAGGTATCATTATTATCTATGCCTCTGAAAATACACAAAAAACTGTAAGTTTAGATTAGAAAGCTGGAATTTCCTCAATTCAGAAAATTTTTTGAAGGGCCTCATATGGGAAACTCCTGAAATTTTCTCCAGAGGAACCTTGAAATTGGACCAATGTAGCCACTCTGGATAAGAGATCCAAATGGGGAAAAAAAAGCCACATTTGGATCAAGAACTGCTTTGGAATTCTCTAGTCAAAAAGAGTTTAATCTTTAAACCATCTTTTATGCAAAATTGAACTGCCTCACTCAACCCTGAAAGAGTGGATGTGGAAGAAAGGTTCTAGATAACTCTGTTTATGTTCAAAAATTTTGTCCAAAATAAAATAAAATAAAAATTTTAAGTGAGTTTAGTTATTACTTCACATTCACATCAAGTTGAACCTTCTGAAGTATGACAGGTCATCAGTTGGCCTCCGCGAGAAGGCACTGCTAATTAAATTCAGAATTCATTGAGAAATTCAAGCAACTCAAGACAGAGTAGTAAGTGTAAAAGCTTGTGTGGTGATGTGGTAAAATGACTCAATTTCAAACTTCATTAAAAAAAAAAAAGCCCCAAACAAAGCACAATTTAAAAGTTGGCATTTCCCACAACACACCATAAATAACAATGTAAATTATTGTTATATTTGTTTTGGTACAGTCAATGTCATAGATTTTCCATCTTCATGCTCTGGTAGAATTTGGACAATATCAAACACACACTTAGATTGGGCACCACTTTTTACATACATATGCCTCTTTTTTGGCAGGCTGCTGGCCGCCCCTTTATGAATTATTGGCAATTGTTAAGAGGAAGAAAACCATCTCCATCACGGATACTGAATAGAGTGCAAAAATAAGTTATCATAAAAAGGTAAAGGTGCCAAATTAAATAACTACTTAGGCAAATGGAATATTACAACAGTGGGCTGGGCCTTGATTTTTGATGGGCATTGGGGCAGCTAGGTGGCACAATGCATAAAATGCAGGGCCTGAAATCAGGAAGACTCATCTCCCTGAGTTCAAATCTGACCTTAGACACTTATAGCTGTGTCACCCTGGGCAAGTCAAATAACCCTGTTGGCCCCAGTTTCTTCATCTGTAAAATGAGCTGGAGAAGGAAATGGCAAACCACACCAAATATCTTTGCCAAGAAAACCCAAAAAGGGGACATGAAGAGTTGGACATTACTGAAAACAACTAAAGTGCACCAGAGCTAACATTAGAAGAGGTGAGTTAGTGGTGATTATAGATTAAAAATAAAACAAAGGCCTGATTTAACTTGAATGCCAAATGGAAAAGCCCATAATTATTGTACCAGATACATAGTAAAGGACTCTTCAATGGAATTATTTACCTAACTTTAGGTTACTGAAATTGTCACTTATTAAGTGTGATAACTACCACCAATGCCTTTTTCCAAATCAGAAAGCTATAGCAAAGTCTCCAACCAGGAATAATTCCAGAATATCTTCTCCTCAGACTCATGACATTACTAAGGGCAGGACTTCCCTAGTCTGGATCTGGGGACAGCAGTCTAATGTAATGGTACGCATAGTTACGTGACTCCAGAGTCACATTTTAAATTACCATTTACTAAAAATATCTTTATTGTGAAACTTACAGAATTCAGTATAGCATGATATTCTAATCATGAGGCAACTAGGTGGCTCAGTGGATAGAGTGCTTGCTAGTTCTAGAGTCAGGAAGACCCAAGTTCAAATCCAGATTCAGAAATTTACTAGCTGTGTAACTGCAAATCACTTAACCTCTGTTAAGTCTTTATATTCCCTCAACTGTAAAATGGGGATAATAGCACCCACCAGGTCTGCTGTGAAGGTAAAATGAAATATTTGCAAATTGTTTTTGCAAACTTTAACAATGTTATGTAACCATTATTAATCTAATACAGAAATCTTAATTCTTGGAATAGTTTCAGATTATACATAAATATTCAAGAGCCATGGCATACATTTCAGTGATCTAAGAAGTGAGTTTTAAGCTGGAAGTCAAGACACACAAGGCCTAATTCCAGTTCTGTTACTAATTAATTTAACTTAAATATGGGTTACATATCCCCAGTTGTAAAATAGAGGTAATATTACTTGTTTTAAGAGGTCCAATTACTACACAGCTGTAGATAATATTAACTATTACATTTTGTTTTAGGTAATATATTCTTTAAAAGTTATTTGTAAATGGAATTCTAAATGTGCTAGAGAGAACTAAATACCCTTGGGGATGCTTGTGGGAAGAAAGGGAGGAGTGAAATCATCATTGAAGAGGTAGATTTTTGAGTTGAGCTTTAAAGGACAGGTGGATGGGCAGGAATTCAACAGGGAGAGAAAGGGAGTTAAGGAGAACATTTCAGGCCTGGTGACCAAAATAAGCAACAGTAAAGAACATGAGAGCATGATTCAGTTTAGCTAGAATACAGAAAACATGGAGGGAAGTAGCATGAAAGGTAGAATGTGGGGGCCCCTGAATAATGAATGCAAAAAGATCTAAGGATAAAGATTAGTTTAGTAATGAAGGACGAATTAGTGAAGAATGGATTAGTGGTTGAAAGCCTGTTAGAAGGCTATGGTAACAGGGTAGGTGGATAATATGGATGGTTGCAAAAGTAATAGACAAGGGCATGGTTATGAGACATATGAGTGTCAATACATCCTAGAAATTGATCAGAAATGAGAGATGAGGCAGAGTAACATGACTGAGGTCAAATATAGGAGACCAGGCAGTGCCATCAGGGGCAAATGAAGTCAGGAGAAAGAGATAAATTTTCTTTTGGGCATTATGAGTTTAAGTACTTATGGGACTTTCAGATGTAGTTGGCATTCTTTATTCAGTTAGATATGGATTTGGAATGTGAAAGAGAGGTTAGGTCTGGTGATATAGATTTGGGAATCTTAATAGAGGTGATTGTTAAGGTCCTGGGAGTGAATAAAATTTCCAAGGGAGATAGCATAGAGCTAAAAGAATGAATGATGAATAACTTGGTGGAGGGGGAGAAGTGAATACTCACATTAAGGTATTAGGAAGAGAATGACAGAGAGCAAATGTAGGAGGAAGACCAGAAGCAGTGCGTGCCCAAAGCAAACAGAGGTGTAATCCAGTTGGGTATCAAAGAGAGTCAAGGATGGTAAGGAATGAAGGAGAAAACCACTAGATTGGCAATTAGGTCAACTTAGGGAGCACTTTTGGTGCCTGGATAAAACAGGAGCTGGATTGCAAAGAGGTAAAGGAGCATATAGGTAGTGAGGAAGTGAAGGCATTTAACGCAGATGACTTTTTGAATGTCTTGACAATGAAGAGGAGGCAATCCATGACACAAGAGCTGCATTGAAGTAGTAATGGAGTTCTTGTCAAATGGTTTCAATATTCTCAGTGAAGCAGGAAGCTAAGTTACCTGCTCTATGTTTTTGGTATGGAGATGTGGTTGCTACTTGAAGTAGAAAGAAAAGATTCAGAATAGTAGCTGGAGGAAACAGGCAGTTGAAGGAGCAGGGAAGGCCTAGCTGAGACCAAGCAACATGTATATATGTATATGTACTGGATAAACTATTGTAAACTGTTCATAAACAAATTAATTATAAAACATATTAAAGTCACTGATGAGCATTTAAGCAAGTGTTAGGATTTAATATAGACAGATGGAAAGGTAAAGCCAAAACGGGTAAAGCCAAACTGAGTAAAACCAACTGGTAAATACAGTTGGGTAATTTAATGGTGTCACTGCTTTATAATAAAACAATTCCCTTTTCAGGCATTCCAAAGTTCTGGCAGCTAGCTCTAAACAATTCAAATGTTCCGTCTTTTTTTCCTGCTCAAAGGCTTTTTGAATTCCTTTTTTTTCTTTGATACCACACTAATGAGTTTTGCATCCCCACACACTGCAAAATTATGCTACATCTGCAAGCCTGAATTTTAATAATAAAAACTATTTACTATTACTATTTACTATATTTACTATTTAATAATAGTTTACTATTAACCCACAAAACCAGCCAAAATCCTTTTGCATTCCTGAAACTCCTACATTTAGTATTTGCTCCTACTGACCATTCTAATTTTATTTGTGCATATATTATTGAAGTGCAATATTGACTCTTACAAGTGGTCAGTTATTAGTTGATAAGACCTAAAACAGATGAGATCAAAGGTATTAAACACTAAAAACTGAAGACTTTTCTTAAGTTTTATAGAAGAATATCCACCTATTTAAAAGTACTCCATCATAAAGCTGAAGGTCAGACAAAAGACTACTACTGCAAAAAGAAAAATCACTGGAGAAGACTTCACAAACATTTCAAATACAGTTATTAGAATATGAACTTGCTTTTCATCTTCATTATATTATTTCTCGTTTGAATTGATTTCCCAGATTTTTCCCCTAGGGAATGAGTTTATTTTTTAAAAAACACAGATAAATGAGAAAAGGTGAGACATCTCTTGATCCTTCTGTTCAATCTAGCTCCTTTCCCATGTGATTCCCCTCTTCTCTGCCAAGTTTCTTCAAAAAGTGATCTACAATCCAATTCCTTACCACTGGCTGACTTCCTTTCTTAAAGTAGAACAAATGAACAAAAAGACTTCAAATGTCTATTGAAAAATTTAAATTCATAAAAAATACATAAGAACCACAGGTAGGTTTCAAAGAAAGGTCACAGGTTACTACCTTAAAGGATGTCAATAGGCCAAACTATCAGTCTATTAATTAACAGTGGGAACTTGCACCACCATTACAGATTGCAAACTGTCTAGAATGCACTGGATAAGTTTAAGAGAGTTGTCTGAGGCTCAGAGAGGTTAACTGATTTAACTGTGGATCACAGAGGCAGAATCTGAATCCAAGTGTCCCTGTCAGCAAGGCCAGTATTCTGTCCACTAGGATACAATGTCTTCTTGACTACCCTTCAAGGCTTAATAAATAAGCTAACTTAAGAGACTTCCAGATTACTATGACCAGACTGATCTGTTGATCATTTGCCACAGTAAATAAATAATATCAAATAAACCCTAACAAGCTTATATGTGTAAGATTCTATAGAATTCCAATTCTTCAGAAATTAAATTTTTAAATATATATTAAATTTTATTTTGCTGATTCTCACTTAATATCCAACTTGATTTTATGAAAAACAAAAAATTTCAAGTTAATATATATTTGAATAAGAAATTTTTGTGTATAAAGACACAAAACCTGTAGGCAAATGGTACACTGGAAAGTGTGCTGGATTTGGAGATATGTGGTCCAACTTGGGACTCCTTCTCTCCAGATCCAGGCTCTGCCCTTACTAGCTGAATAAGACACAACCTATGCTTCTGTCATTATTCATGGAGAAAAATATCAAAACAGTCAGCAAGATCAAAGTTTAATTCCTATGCCAGAAAGAGCTTCAGTCATTAAAAATACTTTATTCTTTCAATTTAGGAGAATGCATTTAGGATGCATCAAAGTAAACAAGTTATTTGACTTTCTGTTTTTTCCTTGCTTGAAACTCCTGTGTTTTGTTTTTGATAGATTTAATTAGCATTGACAAAGCAGGATCTATGGATTTCTTTGCTGTTTCCTTTTGCAGGTCATTCTCTTTTCTCTTTATTGCCTTTGTAAGTTCCTGTTGTTTCTGTTCTCTCTGTCGAGCCTTCTCCTCTAGGATTTTTTCTACAGCTTTTGTTTTCTTGAAATTAGGATCAGAAGGATCTAAGTTGAACAAGTGGGAAGTATACATTGCTTGGAACCGAGTATCTGAAACATCCACCTGCAAATTCAAACAGAAAGAATAAAATCAATCCAAATGATCCAGCAATAACAAATGTCAAAGATCAAATCCTAACAGACTGAAAGATCTCTGAGATTAGGAACCACATAATTTTTCATTTTCTCCCCCCCTACACTGACTAATACAGTGCCAGGGATAAAGAGAAGGTATTAAAATAATTTATCTTTCTTTTCCTGCCATCTATAATCTTTTAAAAAATTTCTTCAATTGGGGTTTGATTCAAGAGTTAAACTAAGCATATTAAATCTAACTTTTTTTTGTCTAATTAGATTTGGCGTCAGTAAACACCAACATCCAAGGTGCCAGTAAAAGGATTAAAAAAGTAAGAACCATAAGTTAACGTATTATGTTAGTGAGGTCGAGGTAATAAATGGACAAATTCCCCAAGTGGGTCACTAATCTCCACAAGAGAAACTCACTCTTCCACATCCACAGATTGCCCTCTAACTAACTGCAGCAAACCACTTTGAAAATATATGTTGTAGGCTGCATGCATGCACACGCAGGCGCAAAAACACTCCCTCCTCTCTCCCCCCCAAAAAAGGGAAGAAAGTGCAGATAGCTTACAGCAACATCATTACTAATGGAAAAATAAATCAAAATATCCCTCTACTAAATATGGGCCAGTGGCACTGACTTTTAAAAAAAAAATAGAAGTCAATAAAAAGTAACATCTAGTTTTATGGACAATCTAATTTGATGATGAGATGTTTTAGATATGATTATTAACCTATCATGGGAGCTCTACTACTGAGCTATCACAAACCTATCCTTGTTTTAATTTTTTCTTAAAAAATGACGTATTTCTACAAATAAGTAGTGCTGACCGACTGAAGAAGGATTTAACTTGCATGTCCCTTAGGTTACCTCAAAGTCATCCTCCAATAGTTCCTTCTTTTTCATGAGTTTTTTCTTTTTCTTTTTGCTCAGGTTCTGTTGCTCTACAATCTTGTTGTAATTGAAGTGTTTCCTGCCATCGTCTTCATCATCCATCATAAGCAAAGCCATTTCAGCCTGTTGCAAGAAGAAACAGTTCACATAGACAACGTTTCTTTCCAATAGAGTATGGGACACAGATGTCCCCTCTATAACCAGACAACTCAATCATTAAAGCTCCAGGGTAACATTTGTCATTTGTAAACTGATTACAGATGATCATAAAGAAAACCAGAAGTATTCAAACTGCAACAATGCAAAAAGTCTTTTGAAGCTACTATAGCATTGAGAACAGGTGAGGGGGGAAGTCTGTATTTTAAAACAAAAGAACATTTCACTAAACACACACACACACACACACACACACTCACACATATCTTTTAAAACAAAGATGGTTAGCCTGGCAAATCATTGTAGATAGGACTCTGTGCTGTGAACTAGGAAATGTGACCTGATACTACAAGGCATTTTATGTTGCTATTAACCTCTCTCATATTCCTGATTTTCTGAATAACAGGAATTTTAAAATACATTTCTCTAATATGATATCTGTTTACCCTCTGACTTCCATTTTATTTTTTACTAAATAAATGTTATATCCCAGAGACTATATGATTAAATATTTCATCTTTACTAATTAAACAAACCATGTTGATCTCTGAATTTACACGAGTTGGAAAATGTCTTTGAAGAAAAATGACTTTATTCTTTCTGTGTATTTAATGTGGGGTGTAAATAGAAGAATGTTAAAATACCATTACAACGGAAAAAAATTAAGTATAAAGTGCTATTTAAATCTCCATTTACCCTTACTTATTTTATTTAAAGATTTAAGAGATCTGTTTCAAAAATAAAATTTTAGAATTCTTGGCAATCTGAATAATATTCGTGATACTTTCTGTATCGATTAAATTTATAGGATAATTTCTCTTTTTGTCTTTGTATGTCTTTCTCCTCTCATTAAAGGGCTGTTTCAGGGCAGCTAGGCGGTGCAGTGGATAGAGCACCAGCCCTGAATTAAAATCTGGTCTCAGACCAAACACTTAACACTTACTAGCTGTGTGACCCTGTTGGGCAAGTCACTTAACCCCAATTGCCTTACTTACAAGTAAAATGACTAAACTATGGCAATAGTGACATCTAAAAAATACTTTTCCTAGAAATGCTTATTTGTCAGTTTGTCTTTGGCAATTATAACTCATATGATTTATAACTTGATACTATTAACAAGGTTACTAGTTTATTTTCTGATGTACTGATCTTTGGCAGTAACAGTGCCTAAGTCATAGACACTCAGCATTTTAAAGATGAAAGAGATTTTATATTCCAATATCCTTATCTGATCATAAACGAGGAAAATGGGACACTGAGAGTTTGTGATTTGCCTAAGGTCACATAGGTGGCAGAGCCAAGACTAAAGCATTAGTTTCCTGAGTCTTTTCTCTTTTAGGCTAATATACATTGCATGAATCTGTACTTCATCTTTTTAACTGAGTGTTTGGCAATATTTCCGTACTATTAGTGACTTTCCTGAAAGACACCAGAATCTCAATGGAAAACGACTGCAAAATTCAGCACTGTTTATACTGCCAAGTTTCAATTTTAAGTAGCCAAAATAATTAAATTGTACCTTATACATCTTATATATCTATTTCTAACATATCTTCTTATTAAGCAAAACTGCATTATGAAAATA